TGAAAGAGGAAAAGTAAGTAGTTTTAGGTGGTTATTGGGTAGTTATTGCTAAAATTTTTTTCCTATAAATAGCCATTGATGGCTACATTTACAAGACCTAGATCCAGAAATCAGTCTATTTTATCTTACATTTTTCTAGCTATTTACTTTACAGTCCTTTACTTTTCCGCACTAAATTTTAGTTTCTTAAAAGTAGTTCTAAATTAGTCTGTTCAATACTGTAATCCCTTTCGAAACTGTGGAAGTGCAAAGGTACAATTGTAAATGTTTATTTACTTAATAAAATTTATTTTGACGCTGTTCTCTCCTTCCTTTTACTAATGTGATTAGTTCTTCTAAATTTTCTCCTAAAAACAAATCACCAGTAAAATTCATCTTCATAGAGGCAAAAAGAATTTCGAAACAATTGTTTGATTACTTGGCTGGCATTTATTATTTCTATAAGGATTTATTAATCATTGCTGATACACTCAAATTACATTTTTAACCTTCGAAAGTCAAAAAGACCAACATATATATACCCATACATATTATAAATTAGTAAAAAATTCTCCCCAATTAAAATTTTATTACAGAAAAATCTTTTAAATTTTTATTGTCTTTAAAAAAAAATTATTTTGTTGTATGTTTAAATTAATATTAGAGTCTAATTTTTCAGTTTGGCCAATAAATTATAGGGCTCTCGGGCCAAAAGTCCAAAAAAACATTTTCTTTAACTAAAAATTCAGGCGCAGAAATAATTTGTCCATAAGAACAAGTTGAAGCAAAATGACCAAAATTTCCATCTATGTATTTATACTAATCAACGCATACCACTCTCAAAAGAAACACATATGCCTCTCTCTCTCTCTCTCTCTCTCTCTCTCTCTCTCTCTCTACCCTCGTGAGCATAGTTCTAAATATCGGCCGATTCGTACCGGAAAATCATAGCACCCATTAGGATATCCACCGATATACCGGTGAGAATGAAATTCGCAGCCGTAGCGTCCGAGTCCCGGTATGTAGCGGCCTGAAACCGATACATTGGGCGATACGGTCCGATACAGCTTGGTTGTCGCCGATACGGATGAAAATCAGCGCAAAGAGCTACTCGTGGCTTCGATGCTGTTTCTGGTTTTGGATTGCTAGTCTTCACTAAAGTGGGAGTGCAACTATAAGGTTCATGAGGAGGTCATGATGCCCTTTGGCGGCTTCCGATGTGTTTCAGAATGCTTTCTGGGTCGTGCACTGTTGAAACTTTGAGGCTATAGCAGCAACTTAGGTACTGAGTATATCTTTTATATTTATATTTTATATAAATGTACATTGATAGTTTTGGGCCAGTATATTTTACTCAAGATCGTTAGTGGGTTGTTTTGGGCAATCTTGGGCCCATATGTTTCTTTAACCAACTCGTGGGTCTAGTTGATATACTGTCTAGTTGGCATACTATTGTGGATTTATTTTAAATGGTAGATAATTGAAAGTTATAATTGAGACTAAAATAAACATATATCATTTAGTTAAAAATGAGTTAAAAGTGCTCTTATATATCAAAATTTTGATTAAAATGTGACAAATTAAGGTTAAAAGAGTAAAAAAAATGTATAAAATTGATTTTCAAAAGAATTGTTAATGATTTTTAAAATTTCACGATCGCGACACCCGATTCCCGATACGTACCGACCGATACTACCGATACCAATACTCCGTAATCGATATCGATACCGTTACGTTACCCAATACGCGATTTAGAACTATGCTCGTAAGTCATTTTCGTCACCACCATCAATGCGTCCCTTCCGCCTTTGCCGTTACTGTCTCCTCTCCACCACCAGTACCTCCACCACAGTGTCGCCATCACCATCAACTCAGCGACAAGATGAGATTTTGGTTCACCATTAAAACCCTCCACCACTGCATTTCAAAACCCTCCACCACTGCATCACCGCATCGATCACCTCAAATCTGAGATCATCGCCTCATATTTCCACCAAACTGAGATTGTCGCCGTCCAAGGCCTTTGGTCATTCGTCGCCAAATCTACTGATCAAATCAAATCGACCCTTTTTGGTTTATGAGAAACTGAAGAAAGAAAATTAAACAAAATTTTGTATTTGGGTCTAGTTGAGTGCATTGACTTATGATCCATTATTTGTTGTGAAGCATTCAAGGTTTCTACTTCCTATCATTTTTTGATTGTATTTAACGAAGTTTTTAAGATTTTGGTTCAAATTTTAATATGATTATCGTATTTATCATTTCCATAACTATAGCAATTTAGGGTTTGGAAACAATTGATGATCTATCAGAGGCTAATTTATTGATTTTTGGTGCCTTTTATTTTATTTCTAGTGCATCAAAATTGAATTTTTGTAGTTGGTGATTGATTTGTAATTTCATGTCAATATATTAAGGCCTCTGGTCGTTCATTGTTCGTCACAGTCTCTCTCTCTTTTTAATTTTTTTTATACACACACACACACACACACACATATATATATATATATGTTTGTATACATGTAGACGAAGAACCATCACAATAGATAACAAGTTTTTATTTATTTTCATTGACTATCTATTCAAATTTGTTGTTATTGTTAGTGTTGTTGTTTTTGTAAATCTTAGCGTGTTTTTTTTTTTTTTTGGGTGTAGTTGTAGTTGTAGTTGTAGTTGCAGTTGATGTTGTTAATGGTGGAACGAATTGTTGTTGTTGCTGTTGATGATGATGATGATTGCAATAGATAAAATAAAATCTATGGTGCAACAAATAAAAAAAAAGATGACTTGGTGTATTTCAATACCATAAGTTTGAATAGATAAAAAAAATTCAGGAAGAAAAATTGAACACATAAATAGAATTTAGGGAAAAATTTAACAGATATATATAATTTAAGAGAAAAAATTGAACAGATAAATATAATTTAAGGAAACAATTGAACAGATAAATATAATTTAGGGAAAAAAATTAAACAGATAGACAAAAAATTTGAACAGATAAAAAAAATTTAACAAATAGATATAAATTTGAACAGATAGTTAATGAAAAATCAAACAGATAAACAAAATCAATAAGTAAAATTGTAAACAAAATATTCTCTAGGATTTCTGATCAAACTATTACACAAAGCGTGGACCTCTCATCAATAAAAAAATATCCCTTGGACCAAATGCCTTATATTCTCCTTAGATTGGATTTATCACCAATTAATCCTAAATTTTATATAAATATTAGATATACTGAAGAAATAGAATTAGATGATTTAAATAATAACACTTCTTTACTTATAGTAATAGAACAAAATAATACATTAATTAAGTAATAAAAACAACTTAGTAAAAAACTTAAAAGCAATCAAATAGAAATTATAAAAAAAAGGTAAGCACATATCCATTGTAGAATATAAATAAGAAAATACTATAAATAATTACCCTTATCTTATAAAAGAAATTCAATATATGAATTAATACCCACTTTTCAAAGACAATAAAATTTTAAAATTTTAATTAGATATGGTCTTTTACTATTTATGAACTTATATTTTATTTTTGTAATCTTTTTAAGTCTCGTTTGTCAACTATATATTTTAGTCAAAAAGTTATTATAAATTGTCACATTATTCTCTCTACTTTTTTACACATATTTTCGTAAAAAATCAAAAAATATTAAAATTGTCTATTCTCAAATGAAGCCTTAGAAATTAAATAAGTTTGAATTAAATATTTTAAAAACTTAGGCCTCGTTTGGCAATTACATGTTCTAGTCAAAAAATCGCTAAAGTTGTCACATCACTCTCTCTACTTTTTTGTATTTTTTTTGTAAAAATTGAAAAAGTTACTAAAAGCTCATTTGGGATGTGGATTGACTTTTTGACTTTTTAACTTTTTGGTTATTTTAGGAGTGATTTGAGTTGTTCTAAATAAGTGCATTTTTTTGACTTTTTATGAAATATGAGTTGAATATGGGTTGGGTTTGAAGTGATGTGGTAGAGAGGTGATGTGACTTAAATAAAACGATGTGACTTAAATAGCATAGTAACTTTTTTGACTTTTTTACTATATGCCAAGCAAGGCCTTAGTGTGGGGCTAAAAAGTCTCATTTGGGATAGGATTTTTGGCTTTTTGACTTTTGTAAAAAAAAATAAAACAATTATAAGTTAAATGTGACATTTTGTCTTACAAATAACATATTTTGGCTTATGTAGTTATTTTAGCCTCCAATGTTCTTTTCAAACAAGGTCTAAAATAGCTTGTTCCAAAACAAAGCTTTAATGGATTTAATCAATAATTTAAGGACTAAATAAATTTTGATTTATATATATTTTAGGGGCATAATAAACACAATCCATAATTCAGAAAATAAATAGACAATTTAATGATAATTTAAGAGTATAAAGTGTAAGAAAAATGCTTGGGACCGGCTTTTTTTAGAAACCCTACAATCCTCTTTAGATCTCAACCATTAATGTAAGTGTGAAATCCACACCATCAATGATTGAGATCCAAAAAGAGTTGTGAGAGTCCAAAAAAAGAAAGTCTCAATCATTATTGAAAGTGTAATAAGCTCGAATGAAAAATTGTGAGGATTACTTCAAAGAAAAATGCTAAAAATTCTAAAAAATTGAAATTTTTTATTACTAGTGGTTGTTTGGAGTGTTTTAAATAAGTACACTTTTTGTCTTTTTAGACCAAAAAATTGAAGAAAAAAATATAGATACTTGAGTTAACTTTTTGACTTTTTATGAAAAAATGTGTATTAAAAAATTGTATAAATTAGTATATAGGTGAAAAATAAAGATTGAAAGTTATACAGCCATAATTTTTAACTTTTTGTGAATAGTAATAACTTTTTAACTTTTTAAGAAAAATCTTTTAATTTTTTTTCAACTTGCCAAACTTAACCTAAATATTTCCCACAAATATAAAACCCACATTATTTAATAAAATTTTTTAAATTTCTAACATTACGCTACCTCAAAATACAAGGCAGACGAATTAGCCCAATCAGCCTATTTTACACTTTCCAACTCAGCGCGTGGAGCAAATCAAGTCTACCCTAAAAACTAAGATACAGTGACCTCTCCGCCCTTCCGTGCTCATTAAGAAAAACAAACCTATCCTCTCTCCCCCTCTCTCTCTCCTCATTGCCTCTCTCTCAGTTACAGAGAAACTCACCAAAAACTTTCCCCAAATCACCATCCATCGCAAGAACATGAAGATCAGAAACAAAGGTAAGGTATACCCATCACCTTCTTCATCATTATCATCTATGTGCTTTTATACTGCAAACAGAGATGCTCTCTCAGTACTCAAGCTCTTACCAACTGCGATTCTAGCTCTGGTTTCGATTCTCTCTGTACAAGACCGAGAAGTGTTTGCCTACATGATAACAAGGTCTATCAAGTCATCAAACCCATCTTCAATTCTCGAAGAAAAGAAGAAAAGCAACAAGAAATCGAATACCCATAAGCCTCCGATCTTCGATTGCGATTGTTTTGATTGCTATACGAGCTACTGGTTCAGGTGGGACTCTTCGCCTAATCGCGAACTCATTCACCAAGCCATTGAAGCATTTGAAGAACACTTGGCTAGCGGCGAGAAGAGAGAGAAGAACGGCAGGGGGAAGAGGAAAGAGAAAATGGGGCGCCGTGGGAATGAAAGTAGGGAGGTGAAGAGAGAGGTGGTTCTGCCGGAAGTAATGGAGGTGGTGCCGGAAAAAGGTGGAGAAGAAGAGGAGGAGGAGGAGGAGGAGGTGGTGGCGGCGCCGGAAGATGCGGCGGTGATGCGGCGGAGTGTGGCGGAGAACAACAACCACAAGGGTTTGGTGAGGAAGGTGCTGCCGGACGTGGTGGGGATATTGAATTCCCGTTTGTGGAGTCTTTGGAGTCCGAATGTTTAGTCTTTTGAATTTTTCGAGAAAGAAAGAAAAAAGCTTTAGTAATATTTGGTGTTGTTGGGTTGGGTTATATTCGAGCTCGAATATATGAATATTAATTGTTAAATATCATCTATATCTATATTATTATATAGTATAATATTTCAATGGTTCGAACGTTGATCATTTTGTCTTCTCACTGTCTCTGTTTGTTTTTTTTTTTTCTTTTTACCCTCTCTTTTTTTTTTAAACTCATTTTATTGGTGCTTGAGCTGATGGCGTTCACCGATGGGAAGTTATTTTCCCGGCTATTTTCTAGTCTGGATATTTTCCTGCAAAATGTGTTTATATATTGTACAAATGAATTTGTTTTCAATAATGCTTTTATGATCAAGTTTAATTTTAAATAGTAATGTTATGGTCAACAAATTTGAGTGTTAAATTAGTTAAAAATTAACAAATCAAATAAAACTTAAATTGGTCAATGCTAGTCATTATTGGTGTTAAATTTTAGATTATCAATGTAATAATCAAATGTTTATTTTTGATTTGTTTTGATTCATTTACGTATTCTAGCCCAGTTGAGTATGACCTGCACCAGTTATTAGTGTGGTCAGCAGTTTTATTTTGTTGATATAATGGGATTTGAATAAATTAAAATAAATTAGTAATTGATTCAAATGAAATAACACGAAGTGAAAATGACTTCAGCCTTAAAGAGTAAGATAGATTATTTATTTATATTTTTTTAAAATATTTTTTTGAGCATATATTGTTGCAGAATTAAATTATTCGCAACAATCATAAACAATCCAATGTGTCACTTGGCCATGTCATATGAAGATGGAATAACTTCTCCTTGGTATTACTCACGCTATTGGGAAGGCGGATGGTTGTTGTGTATAGCTCGGTAGTAGGGCTGAGCAAGAAATCTGTAAAATTCATAATCCGATCCAGTCCAGTCCAATCTGATAGGTTTGGATTGGTTTTTCGAATCCGTGGTTCGGTTCCGGATTGAAGAATTAAAAATCCGTCGTCCACGGATTGGTTCTGGATTGGAACCGATCCGGACCGTATACAAATAGTCTATATTTTTATTATACATTCTCCCCCATAGTATCTTCTCTTATTTCTATATAAAATCTAAACCCAAACCTAAAACCGTATAATATTTTCTTTTATTACTCTTGTTTGTTGGTTTTTAGTTTTAATTTTTAGATTAAGTAGGCATTTAAGAACAAATTAATTAACTTAATTATTTTTTTTAAAAATAATATATTTGACAAACTTTACAATATAAACAGTTCGAATTATTAAAATAAACTCGGAACAAAATTCACAAACCCAGATTCCTTTGTTTCGGGGGTGAAAGGATACTTTTCCGTATGTAATCTCTAAGGCCCTATTTGATTTCAAGATATAAAAGTTAGGATTTGATATTATATCTTGTGGGGTTCACATATCCCATGTTTGCAAAAAAAATTTAAAGAAGATATAATATACCATGGGATTGAGTATCCCTCAAAATTAGAAGATATACAATACCATCATCACCCCATTATATTATATCTCCTGAGTTGGGATATGATTTAAAAATCTAATTTACCGTCTTGTCTATCTAATATATACACAGACTAAGGCTCAAGAAAACATATGCAGCTCATACATCAAACAGAGAAAAAAACTCTGGTTTTGCAAGTATAGATCTACTCGATTTTGTGACCAATTTCCATTAACAAAACTTCTTTTCGGTGATAATCATCATGTCCCTCTACTTTGCTCCCTTTTTTCAGATTTTTTGGTTTTGAGTTTCGTTTGTATGATTTTTATGTAAACCATTTGTGATCCTTCCACTAATTTTGCTCAATCTAAACTTTTTAATCATAGACAAGAGGGCCAAAAACTTTCTAAACCCAAAAATGGATTTTGTGCCTAATTTTGTTGTAATCGTTGGGGTTGTAAGTAAGCTTGTGGATATGCATATATAACATATATATGATATATGGTGACAATCATGATGCTTAATATATTAAGTTGTCTATTGTAAAAAAATGTTATCATTTGTTTAAAATGAATGATAGTTATTTTTAATTATAATGGCTTGGATTATTTTATAAGAATGATAATGCACGATAAATTAATGAATGAAGATGTTCTTTTTTTTATTCAATGATGATTATTTTTGTAAGATAGAATTTTTTAGAAAGAATATTAGTTTTTTTTTTTAGTAAAATTATTGAATTTAATATGAACATTTAATTTGTTCAAATAAAAAATAATATGAATTTTTAATTTGTTGATTTACATTAGTTTTTCCTAAACTGAACAATCTAGTTTTGATGGACATAAGGGCAATATGGGTATTTAAAATATATTATGAGGGCAATCTTGGAAATTATTTGTTTATATCTTACAATATATTTTATAAAACAAACATAGATAATATATATCTAATCTTATATATCAAGTCAACAAACATAATTTTGAGAATCTATTATCCAATACATATATCATATTCATTATATATCCTGATTATATCCCACATCATATTATATCCTCCATTTTATATACAGTGAAACAAACAAGACCTAAGAGATTGTGATTCTCTCCATTATAATTTTGCAAGTATAAATTATTGTCCGTACATGTTCAATGAATCCTACAATACAAACAATTCAGATCAACAGAATAAACTTGAGACAAAATCCCCAAAACCTAACAACTTGTTTAGGGGGTGAAAGGCAATATCCTTGTCCATATGTGGTCCTCAAGAGATTCTGGCACTCTTCATTTGCAAATGCAAACTAATGTCCCTATGTGTAAATATTGATAATTGAGTTGGGATTTAGTAATTTAATATGACAGAAGCAATTTAATTGCCAAATCTATTAATACTGATTGGAAGATTCATATGTTTCTATAGTGTTATTATGCGGTAAATGGTTCAAAGCATGCTCAACTCACATTTTCATGAGATTTGTGAAACCTAAAACAGTTTGATCGTGAGAAAGAAATTTCAAAAATAAGTCTGATCGCGTATCAAAGGATGGGCAATTGTTTTTTTAATAATTTTCCCCCAAAAAAAGGGTAAATTACACGAGTAAACCCTATAATTTAAGTGACATGTCACTTTGATCCTCCTAATTTCAATTTGAATGCAAAATTAAAAAAATCAAAGTATAGTTCAAAACAAACTATGAAAATCACCGGTACAATGAATATATTACTCCAATGATCCCTATAATTTGTTTTCAATTTCACTATGATCCTTTTACTTTTACACAAGATCTATTTCTATTTTAAATTCTAATAGTAAATGATAAAAAAACGGCATTACAACAAAATTGAAAAAGTAAAAACTAAATTATTCATATTGAAAAAACAATAACTAAAGTAACACTTCACTTAAACTACATAAATTAATGGTATAAATCACCCTTCTTTTTTCCATTTTTAAATCTAGAAGAACTGTTGTGTTCATTAATTGTCACATTTTTTTTATAAAGAAATTATTTGTTTTAGCTAAATCAAATAATTTTTTATTTTTGATTTTTTTAAATTAAAAGGTTTGTTATTTAGAACAAACCATTAAGTTGGAGATTTAAAATAAACCATTAAAAAATTAATAATAAACTATCAATAGGTCCTAATAGTTAAATTTAATTCTCATCAAGTCTTATTAAAAATAAATCTTAATAAAATCGTCGCTAAATAATGTTTTGTAACAATTTTTGACATATGTCGCTAATAATTGACAATTAGTAACTTTTTTTGGTACAATTTTTATAAATTATTGTTAAAACTTATAATTAATGACGTTTTTCTGTAATGAATTTTTCAAACTGTTGTTAAAATTTAAAAATTAATAATGTTTTTTTTGTGACGATTTTTTTAAACCATCATTAAAATTTATAATTAATGATATTTTTTTTAACAAAAATTTTAAATTATCAATAAAAATTAACAATTAGTGATATTTTTTAATAATATTTAATAAAAATATCATTAATTTTTATAAAACTTATTAAATAATAAATTTACCAATTAAAACGTATAGGTATTTCCTCCTAAAATTAAAGGTTAACATCGGATAGTGACATAAAAATTATGCCCAAACACATTTGCAGGCTAAGCACAACTAACTTTTTTCTGCCACGCTAGATATGGGTCACGGGCTAAAACCTTAGGCCTAACCTTTTCCAATGGATTTGACTCCAATATGCTCGATCTATTTCTCACCAGCCAATAGATCGAGAATCAAGGCTATATTTTTTGCTTTTTTGGATTATTTTTTTTCCTTCATTTTTTTTTTCTTTTTTATCATATTTTCTACCAAGTTTGCGGTCAGGCTGGTGGATAGGCTGACGATCAACCTCTCACAAGCCAACACACCCGACCAACCAAAAGATCAAGTTACAAACCGTAGGCCCAAGACAAACCCAAGTCTCATTCGGGCAGAGCCAGCTGGTTCAAGATTCAAATTTGGCTAATTCCCCACCAAGATACAGGCCGAATGAAAAAACAATCAAAATTAACATCTCTTTCAATCATACCAAATTTGCCAAAGTTGAAGTCTGCGAATTCCATGTTAGATTTAAGCAACTAGGCCAGATCATTTTTAAAATAACTTTGTCTATTATATTTGCCTAATCCAGATATAAGATCATCTCATTGATTGTGCTGTTCATTTGGAACCTTTATCTATAAGGTTGGATTCATTTTCATTTGTCTATACCAAGACGGACATACAGACAGACAATATGTAGAAATTGAATGCACTATCCTTATGCAAACGGAAGAGATGTTTATTTATTTACTCTCCTCTCTCTCCATTCATTTAGTTCTCTTTGTGCCTAACCACATCAATTTCCCGCTATAGCATGAAATGGTGAAAGGGCCACTTAACAAACTCTTACTATAAAGGTGAAAATCGTACATGACATGGACAAGTTATTTAGTTCAAACTTGTTTGGTAATTATTTCATTTTCAGTTTATATTTATAAAAATTTAAAAAACTGTCATAAAAACTTATTTGATAATTTTTTTAGTTTATAAATGATTGTCTCAGTTTATAAATTTGAGGAAAAAACGTAAACTCAAAAAATGAGCTTATGTTTTCAATTTTCAAATAATTTTTTTTCAAATTTTTTTTTTCGCAATTAAATTTTTTTGATTATTTTTTTCATTTTTTTCAATTAAATTTTTTTTTAAATTTTTTTTTCAACTAATTTCTTTTTCAAATATTTTTTTTCCCAATTAAATTTTTTTCAAATATTTTTTTTCCAGTTAATTTTTTTTTCAATTATAATGTGTGTGATCCCATTGTCATAAATAATAAAAATAAATATAAATATTTTAGCATGAACAAACATATTTTTTAATTTATGTTTTTAAAATTTTTTAAACATTTTATTTAAACCAAATGCGTTTGTAATTTATGTTTTTCTAAAAATAAATAAAACTTAATTTACAAAATTTTTATAAACATAAACAAAAAATGTAAACACTACCTTCATGTTTGGTATTCAAACGAGTACATGTGTGTTCATGTTTGTTTTGTTTTAGTTTGTTGAAATTAAATGTTATTAAGCAAAAATTCCCATTACCTTAAAAGTGACTTTATTGTTTTTATAAAATAAAATTACAATAGTGTTTCAACTTACAATCCTATTATATAGGATTAGCAATGCCACCCTGAGAATGCTAACCCTATTTGAGGAATTCATATGTTTCATGTCATTATTTTACAACCAAACATGATTCAAGTGAGACCTGCACAGTATTAATCCAATCTTATTGCCCATAAACGGAAAATGCCCCAGACCCCCTTTCTACTCCACCCCCACATGGGGGTTGGTGATTGAAAAAAAAAAAAAAAAAAAAAAAAAAAAAAGGGGCTAACCAATGAAATGCCAGTCGGGGGTCGTAGGGGTGACCCCCACTAGGGGTCTCTATCATTGCCGCCCATAAACAAACATGACCAAGGGTCAAGCCTGGCTCGCCATTTTTGAATTTTTCATTCATCTTCTATTTCTTGAAATACATTGATATTGGATCGTCTTACCTCAGTAGCATAGGGTTTTCTATGTTGACTTCCTGTTTTAATATACTCCTAACAATTGAATCATAATTGAAATTCATTTATTTTAAAATTTTCAAATAATTTAATAATTAAAATAAGAAAAATAAATAAATAAATACAGAGAACCTATTGGATCATTAGGTCTTAGATAAGAATTCTTGGGCTTTGACAGCTCACCTTTGTTTCCACTTCCCCAATCAAATACTGGGTTAGTATGATAATCTCTTGTCCACTAATCCAACTGAAGTGATGTGCTAAGAAAATTTAAATAAGACAAATGAAGTGATGTGCTAAAAATAATTGAATAAGACAAAATTTGTTCTAATTTACTAATCTGCATTAGTCAAAAATCCAATAATAACTAATCCATTGCAAATTTGTTCTAATTACTGAGTCCTAACCTAATAGGGACCAACTACTAGATTGACTATCAAGCAAGCTATCTTAGATTATATGATAAGTTGTTAGTGCTTGACAAAACAACGAACTAAAGCTAAAACAGCCTTGTATTTCATATCAATCTAGTGGTCAACCCTTTTTTTTTTAATCCAAATTTGATGCAATCAGGCTTGAACAATTTAATACTTAGCTCAAACAAACAAAATTTAAACACATTTTAAAACTTGTTAAATGTTGAAGCCAAAGTTTAAATAATCTATTATTAGGTCAAATTTCTAATCTCCTATATTATTATTTTTTATGTTAATTAGCCTATATTAAATAATATTTCAATAATTATTTAATCTATTAAAACCCGACTCAACTCACTATTTGTCCGACAAATTTCCCATAACTTCATTCTGGCTCCCACAACAAAGGAATCCTCGCTCCGCCCCTCTCTGAGATTATGAAATGTCAGACCAGGTAGTTCAACTAGACCCTCTCTAATACAACAGGACAGTGATATTTTTCTTATTCCATTCAGTACCATTCATCACCTGGCTGGTTTTGGAACTGTCCGGGCAAACAACCTGGAGGATCCTGGTGTAATAACCCTACCAGGCATAGGGTTAGGCCCCTAGATCATGTGAAATTATAGCACTCCATAAAAAATAGACAAAGAGAAAGAGCCCAGTAAGGTAAGTTATGTTTTGCACTGACGAAAATTGATCCTGAATACTTTTGGATAATGCACAAACACAAACAGGTTTTAAACCCAAGGGTGTAGTTTAGTTGGTAACATTTGGGGTTGTAACCTCTAGGTCTCTAAGCAAAACAAAGGCTCTTGCTTTTTGCTCGGTAATGAGAAGTGGTGCATCTCATTACCCCCAAGTTTGGGTATCCAATCTAACTAGGTGGGGATCCCATAGGTGTCTAATCTATAACTTGTAAGAGGTTGTCTTGAGTTTAAAAAAAAAAAAAAAAAAACATTCTATTTCTGCAAAAATAGAACTGTGAAAAGGAAGAAGAAGAATAGAAAACTTGTCTGACATTGGTCATGGCTCATTTTGTTCATTTCTCTTCTGAAACAATCTGAAGTATGTAAGTTCCTTTTTCCCCCAAGGAAGAATCAACTGCTCAGATCATCAAAGCCTCGGGTCTGGAAATACAAATCAGAAGTTACTATCATTGCCTAATTTGACAGGGATCATCTAATGAGAAAGTTTGCCTACAAGCAGAGACGGAACCAAAATTTTATTACTGGAGGGACCAAAAGAGAAATAATTTTTTTCACCATATATACAAAGCACACATGTATGTATATATGATATATAAATTATATATATATATAATTAAATACCATAGAAGTAATTTCTAATAAGATGAAAAAAAAAAAAAATTTATGTAAATGTAAAATAGAAAGAATTCAAAATGGAAGAAGAATGACATTTTTTTATATTGGTTTATATATAAAATGATATATATATATATATATATATATATATTTAAAGTTCTATAACAAATAATAATATTCATAGAAATAAGGGGGTCATGACCCCCATAATCTTCTCCTAGTTCCGTCCCTACCTAGAGGAGCGCGTGGATAGACTATGGTCATTGTCTAATTTGCTACTGTCTAAACCATATGACAACACCATCCCTACACACCATACAATCTTGAGGTGTCAAGCCATCACTAACTGGCATCCACTAGAGAAGGAGGCAAGTCAAGGTTAACCTTATATAGAATGGTCGAGAATCAATCAACACCATCGCCAAAAATCCAACCAAGTGATTCTAAATTGATAAATGAAGAGTATGTTTGACACCATCTACATGCCTCCTTTTGATGACACCTGATATGCCTGCTAAGAGATCATTTTATTGTGATACTTAAAGAGAAGCATGTACGCCAACCTCACACCACTGCACTTTTAAGCTGAGATGGCATTTGAGTCAATCACTTTCTGACAAATGACCCACAATGGCCACTCCATGTGTCAAATAATCGGTGCTGACCCATCCACCAATTGCAAGACCCCTTTGCCGTATCTATATATATGTTATACAAAAATGACATTTTAACAAAGGTCTTTATTTATAAGAACTGGATATCATCTTAGTTCAACAAAATTCTATGTCCAAACCACAGTTGTCAAATCTAAATTCGTATCGGGAATTGAAATGGCCTCATACCGAATCGAATCGAATCGAATCGTGAATCGTAAAGATTCGATCATTTTTTTTTAAATTACTTAAAAACATATATCTACATATTTAGATATTAAATATATTTTATGAAAATAAAATATTTAAACTTAAATCTATAAAAATGTTATTTTAACTGATAATCACATAGTTTAATAGATAAGAAGTTAACAAAGATTCTTGTGTAAAATCACCATCTTACCTTTTTCTTTTTTAGATATTTCTTATCAACCATTCTTAATAAAGATTATTGAAAATTGGGTCAGATTTGACCCGACCCATAACCCATGGAGCATCCACATGGATTGTAGATAATTCACACTATTTAATAAATAAGATAATTAAGGAATTATCTAATGAAGTATTTGAGTTGTTGTGGGAACCTACAATTCCATTTCTATCTGCAGAGATATATATCATATATCTGATATAGAGAAGATATACGTATTATTGTTGTGAGATTTTACCCAAAAAATCTTTGCAGAATTTTTCTCTTTGTTCTTCCCTCTTAGGTCACCATTGTAAAATCTAGGGATTCTTAGGTCACCATTGTAAAACCCCTAGGGATTTGGAGTGTGAATGCAACATTGAGAAACTCTGGTAGCTTCTTAATTGACGGAAGATTTTTCAGACGAGACTCGTAATTCAAGCATCTGATCCAAACCGTTTCCAATTCAAGTAATATACTTACCCACATATTTTCTTTCAAAGATAATAACCAAATAGATTTCTAAAGTAACAATAATTAACAACGATATTGATATTTGAACAATAAGCATACGTACTTTTCTAAGTAACAGTGAGCAAATAATAAAAAAGAATTATTTATTATCTTTTATTTTAAAACCTAAAACGTTTTAAAAGTTATAACTGATCTCACACATATAATATTCAATTATATTCAATTTAATAAAATAGCAATAGATAATTCATAGTGTAACTTTAATCTTAAACATCTTTAGAAGATATTGTTTTTTTAAAGGGAAAAAAAATGAGAAAAAATGTTAAAAATACATTGGGTCTGACTGAATGTAATTGGATTCTATTAAAAACTCCATGATCATCAAAATAACAACAAATCATATATATATGTTGGTTATTTTTGTATTAAACGCTATCAAAAGTTGTATTATGTCATTTTCATTAAAAAGATGAAAAAAAAAAAGTCAAAAATATACCGGACACAATAATTTCAAAAATTGCATGAATTATAAAAAGTGAATCGAATCATGAATCGATTATGAATCGTGCGATTAACTAGAGATTCACTTCCAAAATAAATTCGTATTGATTTTGCAAAAATTACGAATCACAAAATTCTGATAATAGAGATCCAAACTCCAAAGCATGACTTTATACCACCAACCAAGCATTAAATATGTTGGAACATTTAAAGAAAAAATATAGATCGTACGATTACTCTAAAGCTAACTTTTTAGTACATAACTTTTAGATAATTCTCACTTTATGGTGTGGTGTGAACCCTCTTGTCAAATTACTCTTTTAAATTCATTTCTAGTGCCCTGAGAGATGCCCTGTTGGACTTCAAAGAGAATAAAGGGAGCATAGCATATAGATGAAGTTATAAATACCTTCAGATGTCTCGTGGAATGGTCCACTCATGTTATTAGTAGGATGTTGTCCTCAATTTGAACTTTAGTTCATTGTTGCCTTCTGAAAAACAGGATGACATACGCATCCAGGGGCCTCTGCAGTTTTCAACTGCCCATGTCTGTCATTAATCATTTCCATCCAATTCATAAGTTGGCAACTTGGCAAACGAATTCTCATAGTTTCCATAATGTTGTTGATGTTCAAAAGCTCGTTTGTATTAGCCCTGCAATGACATTGTGGCATATGGTCATGAAAAAAAAATACAAACAAAGGAGAGAGAGAGAGGCTAGAATAAGATAGGAATACAAGTGCAACCATACAAAAGGCTAGATTAACATGGGGTGTTGCATAGCACAGCAATAAAAATGAGCAAAAAAATTGACAGGGTTCTAATTTCACGAAAAGATAAAGCACATGCACAACACAACAGAATCAGAAGGAAAAATTGTAGTCACCTACAAACATCATGGCAGTTTTATCAGTAATCTATAGCAATGGTGCCAAATCCCAGGTTTTAGGATCTAATATCAAATACCTTCACCGTATTCCTACAATGAATCACCTAGAGTTGTGAAATGGGATACAAATCTTCTTAGAGCATGTTTGTTTTGAGGGATAAGGGTGTGAGATTGGACTATTAGTCCCACCGGACTAATAGTCCATTGTTTGTTTGCAAAATTTTGCTCCGAACTAATAGTCCCCCGACTATTAGTCCCACAAATATGGGGCTATTCTATCCCATGGGGGGGTGTGGGATAGAAACCATGGGATTGGTATCCCATAGAATTATTTGGTGAAATGTCCATTTTACCCTCCATGCTATTACTTAGTAAACAATTAGAAAGGGTAAAATAATCTTTTGAACATTTATAAATTATTTTTTTAGTGTTGTTAATTTAAAATTATATATTAAATAAAAAAATTAAATTATAAATTATAAATTAAATTTAATTAAAAATAATAAATTAAAAATTATGGCCTTATAAATTAATTTTTTTTAGTGTTGTTAAAAAATTAAATTTACATATTTCTCTAAAATTATTTTTTTAGTGTTGTTAATTTAAAATTATATATTAAATAAAAAAATTAAATTATAAATTATAAATTAAATTTAATTAAAAATAATAAATTAAAAATTATGGCCTTATAAATTAATTTTTTTTAGTGTTGTTAAAAAATTAAATTTACATATTTCTCTAAAATTATTTTTTTAGTGTTGTTAATTTAAAATTATATATTAAATAAAAAAATTAAATTATAAATTATAAATTAAATTTAATTAAAAATAATAAATTAAAAATTATGGCCTTATAAATTAATTTTTTTTAGTGTTGTTAAAAAATTAAATTTACATATTTCTCTAAAATTATTTTTTTAGTGTTGTTAATTTAAAATTATATATTAAATAAAAAATATAAATTATAAATTATAAATTAAATTTAATTGAAAATAATAAATTAAAAATTATGGCCTTATAAATTAAATTTTTTTAGTGTTGTTAAATTATAAATTATAGATTATAAATTTAAGATTATATATTAAATAAAAATTATAAATTACAAGGATAAAATAATCTTTTGAACATTTATCCTTATCCAGTCCGTCTAACCGAACATTGGATTCATTAAAAATAGTCCAATCCAGACATCTAATCCCATGACTAAACAAACATAGGATACAAATCCAGTCTAACCAAATAGTCCGGGGACAATGTATCCCGGGACTAACAGTCCGATGGATTACAATCTCCCTTATCCAGTCCGTCCAAACAAACACACCCTTACAGGTAGCAATGCAGATAAGCATTAAGGAGATACAATGCCTATTTAAATCAGTTCAAATTCTGAAACAACATTTCTATATCATTGAAATAAAATGCATGCCGCTCTATTAATAGTGAGCTGAGTCTACCATAAACTAGCCAATGCTTCCGCATCAGACGACCATTTGTTTGCTTGAAATATGATTAATTAAATATATAGCTTATTTATTTTTATTAAGGTAACCTCCTGATCAGTTTAACTATAATGCATTGCCTTTGCCGATATATGAAAAGAAATTAACTGGTAGGATCACCATCAAGGCTTTTTGTTGTGAAGCAAAGTCCCACATTGCCCGAGTACTAAAGTAATGTTAAGCATATAAGCGTGAGGGCACCCTCACCTCTAAAGCTAGCTTTGGAGGTTGAGTTCTATCCAAGACCGTGTAACATTTGGAACTACATATAAATTGCCTAGTAGGATAACAATCAAGATTTTTTCCAACTCAGTTAACAGTAACTTGGTCCATCAGCTTTGGAAAGGCTTAATCAACACCCATTCCAATCTAACCCATTTATGTGAACCTTTTGATTCATAAATTAATATGCTATGCTTCCTGAAAGACACCTATGCATGCTTTCCTCAAATCTTCTTTTTACTATTTTCTTCTGTCTTCTCTCCTAAGTCCACCAACCACTAGTTCACCTTCAATAAATATTCATAATGACATAAGTAGTACGAATACTTATAATCTAGGCTTTTTCCAAAGCCTGATTTAATATGTTCTCCTAAGAGAAACAATACCTGTTATTATCGTTAGTATGTATGGAGTATCAAAGGATGTGTCAACTTGTTTAGATCTACCTATTGTTATTATGGGATTATTTTTAATGAACAAGGAATAATGACATAAGTAGTACGAATACTTAGGCCAAGTTTGGCTACAAAGGAAAAAGTGCACTTATTTCATCTTTTTATCTTTTTTGGGTCACATCAATCAACATCTCCTCTCTACTTTTTCTACACATAATACAAAAAAAGTCAAAAAGTGCACTTATTTAGTCTTTCCAAACTAGGCCTTAATCTAGGCTTTTTCCAAAGCCTGATTTAATATGTTCTCCTAAGAGAAACAATACCTGTTATTATCGTTAGTATGTATGGAGTATCAAAGGATGTGTCAACTTGTTTAGATCTACCTATTGTTATTATGGGATTATTTTTAATGAACAAGGAACATGAGATTTCCTAGTGGTGTGGAGATAGTGAACATGATACCAATTATAGCATCAATAAAAGAAATTTGTGTCTTTATTCCATAAAATAGATTGTTAAAGGGACATTAATCAATAAAAACAATTTTAAAAAAGATGATGTTTACGGTTACCTAATCAACCAGAAAAATAAAATTTCCTACTGGTGGAGATAAAATCAACCATATCCAATGACCAATCAATTATTTGGCACTAATTATTGTCCTTGTCATGGCATCATCAATTATGTTTGTTAATTTTAGGCCACATTCGTTTCATGGCATGGGATTAGAGGGGATGATGGCAAATGAATACACCATGGCATTAATATATATCATGGGATTACTGTACTATACTGATTAGGGTAGGATACAGGAGGAAGTAAGGTTTGAAATTTTTTTTTTTGGCTATTTTTTTATTTTGGGGGCAAGTATATTTTTTTGGCTATTAGATGGAGGTTGGCAGATATTCCATAGGTAGTAGGGATCAATTATCCAAAGCTGAAGTGGGATTAGTTATCCCTCATTTTGGAGGAAAACTAATCCAGTATGACTACTAATTCACCCAACTTTGACCAAGCCAACCAAACAAGGGATTGGAAGGGATTGGGGAACAAGAGGAGAAGACGAGGGAGCAGCTGAGCCCCACACCCTAATCCACCTCCTTATCCCAACAAACAAATGTGGCCTTACTTGCAATAAGATAGTCAAGATTGTAAACGGACATTATTTAGTGGAACCAAAGGTTGTGAGTTCGAACCTAAGAACAACCACTTTATGCAAATAATACTACAAGGTTAGGTCTGTACCCATTCTTTCTCTCCAAGACCTTCATCTAATGGAGGCTATACTGGTGTAACTTTTAAAAGGCAGCTTGGTACAATGGCATGGCTTGCTGTTAGGTAGTGCAGGTTCAAATCATGGAAACAACCTCTCTAGAAATGGGAGTAAAGTTGTATATATTTTGCCCTTCCCAGACCCCGCTTTAGCGGGAGCCTCGTGCACTAGGTCTTGCTTTTTTAACAATGTCAAAACATGAAAGAGTTGTCTTTATAGGTCAAGAGGCAAGTAACAGCTCATTCACATCCATAGGTCAAATTTTGGATTTGGGAGCTATTCAGACCCCATTTGGGAATTTGCTATTTTAGTTGAATTTTTGGCTTCTACGAAAATATGTACAAAAAAGTAACGAGAGTGATGTAACAACTTGTAGTAATTTTTTGGCTAAACCAAGGTCCCCAAATGGGGCCTCAATATCAAAAAATTCAAAACACTGAAAAGTACTGGGTTTGGATTTAGAGAGCTTACAAAATAGATTTAAGTAAAAAAATGTGAATGCATATTTCCTCAGCTACTCTTATATGTAGATGTTATGGCAAAGGCGAAGATGAGAAAAACTAAAGCAAACCAAATACACAAGCACATGAGGATTTACAGGATTCAATAATAAGCCTACGTCCAAGGGCGTAGAATGATGGCAGAATTTAACTATGACTGTGGAGATTACAATGAGCCAGCTCTCTCTCTCTCTCTCAACCCTCTATTGAAAACTCACAAGATCATCACAAATCCTAGAACCCTGAAATAGCCTAATATATGCAAGGATTTGAAAATAGCAAACCAAGTCAAAATAGACCCAACTACAAATATTGGGTCGGCCTATCATTAATAATCCATGCAAGTCATCAACTGGTTATAAGCATCATCCAGGTCGAATTCGAGACACACCCACAACAATAAAGTTGTTTGTGGGTTGCACCCAGTTCCTTAAAATGCAATAAACCTGTACCCGAAGGGGCCTCTTTTATGAAAAAGCTTACATTCATGACAATATGACTGACAGGCAATAAAAGAAGATGACCTGATCACATGTGGCAAGGTCACCGATCCAAGCCAAAAGAAAACATATGGTAGTTTAGTGGCAATACTAAACATTGATGGTAATGCCTAATAACATATTTTCACCAATCATGAGCAGAAAACGAGGTTATTGCTTATTGGGGTTGGGTTGTTACGTGCAGCTAATATATTGTAATGAAAGCACCACAGAATGCAACACAGCTTAAAGTGTTCAGTTATGATGTCAGAGTTGGTCAAACCTGAAATATCACCAAATCCAATCAGAGCATGGTCTGTGAAAAACCCAATAATACATAAGTTGGCTGCAAATAGAAACACATGCAAAAGTATTGTTGCTGTCATAGTTTAGCTGCAAAGATATAGTAATCTGTGAGAAGAACTAAAGACTAACACAAATGCAACACAGTGTCAGCTAACAGTACTTTTTAACACTAAAAATTAAAGGGAAAAAAATAAAAGAAAAAAGAAAAATAGATGAGGTTCCTTTTAGTTAGAACTTTCCTCTGACAGGTGGCCCTACCATAAAGCACTAGGATTGAACTTTTTGGGTCCCTAATGGAAAAAAGATCTTCTTCTTTGTCATATTATCTTTGAATTGATTAGGGTCCAACAAAATATTCTCTAGACTCCATCTGCTCATGTGGGTAGTTCTGATTAGAATACTGAGAATGGAAATTCCATTGTAATGCCATGCAGAAATGCATGTGCATAAACATGACACATTGGGAAGGCCAATGGCATAACTATAAGAATTAATGCAAGTGCACTGGCAGATAGAATCTTCAGCTTGTGGGGTCTTGAACCCACTTCCCATTGGCCACATGATTTGGTCTACACAAAATAGCCAACCCAAATCTTGTAACTTTCTCTATGTTTCTCTCTACCTGCCTCAATCTCAGGCACTTATAGAGGCTTCCAAGACACATATCAAATAGTCACACCACACATTCTGAAAAGAGCACCTTCTCTCACTTCCTCCTCACTGCCAGAGTAATCTAAATCAAGTTCTTTGAAGAAAGATCACAAAAATGAAGGTAACACCAATTTCTGTTGAACTTTGGAAGACAAAAACTGTTTCCAGTATTTTATGACTTCATATTTGCATATCTTGATTGCAGTTACTTGGTTGGATGCATCGCAAGTTAAGGCCTAGTGAAGCACTCAAGGATTTTGCCATCGGTAAGTCATGTTTCTAATCCGACCTCTATGAGTTGAGTTGGTTTGGCTTTTTCAATATATTGGTTCGGCTCTAGGTCTTAAAATCATCAACCCGACATGAATGGGTTGGGGTGCTGTTTAAGCCACGCTTAAACTGAAGCAATCCAAGATCCAAATCTATATATATTGCATAAAATTCTAATGTCGTTGACATGTCTTTATGTAATTGGTCTATTGCAAATACTAAGGTGGACTTGATTGCACCTGATCATTTCATATATAAAAGAATAGTAACGTCTAATCTAATCTTTCATTTCCTACCTTCATCCACTACACTACTACAAGCTGAGCCGCTGCGGGTGATTTCTCTATTCTTGGCAATTGTCTCCGAACAATATTTTGTAAACAATATTAAATTTTGAAACAGTACTTTGTTGCTCTATGTCTGTGTTACGTTAAAATGTTTAAGATTTGTTTATTCTAATCATTTATTGCTAATTGATTCACTTGTTTTAGTATAGTGGAACTACGGTTCCAACCCAAACAAACCTGATGCTAAGTCGGGTTGGCTTGGTTTGGTTTTGGTTCCAGTGCATGATTGGTTCTGTCCTGCACCCAAAAACCTGGGACTGATCATGATTGGTTTTGTTCTGAGTTTAAGGCTAACTAGAACCAAAGCAACCCATGTGCACGCCTAATCATATTTATGCCAATGGTAGTCATCTTCAACTTTATCCCAATTATTTAACATTTCTTCAGTCATGGAATTCTTCTAATTGTCTTTCAGAGAAGCCATCACTGGATGAGCAGCAGTACGACATGAAGGCAAACTATGGTACTAAGACCTTAGGCAAATCACAGAAATACAACCATCTTCAAAAATCATTTGCCATAGAAGAAGATGACTTGGAAGAAGAGCCATCGGCTGCGATTTCTCAGCTCTTCCATGGCTTCTTTACCATTGGTACTCTTGGTTCAGACACAGTCATGGCTGACCCATCATCAACACCAACATTCGCCATCTCTGTTGAGAACATAAGTGAAAAAGAAACAGAAGTAACAGAGCATGATTTGAAGCTGATTAATGATGAGTTGGAGAAGGTGCTAGGAGTTCAAGGTAAACAAGATGGTTGCAATGACTCATCTGGGAGAAACAGTCATGTTAGCACCATTACACTTTGTGGCAAGACATTGGAAGGCACAGAGACCAGTGGGAACAGAACAACAATCTGTCCACTCCAGGGCTATCTGCTTGGGTCAGTAATTGAGTTGCCAGAAACAAAGAAGGAACATCGAACATCGCTTGGGGAGCTGTTTCAGAGGACAAAAATGACAGAGGAAAATTCTGTCACTAAATGCAAGAGCGGAGAAAAGAAGGCAGACAAGGAAACAAATAAATCTGCTATACGTCTCATGAAAAAGATACTGAAGAAAAGAATGGTCCATGATTCCTCTCGGACCTCCACCACAGTGACTGGGGGAAATGTTATCTCTGCTTCAATGGAGACGAAACTGCATAAGGTATGTCTACTTCTAGTACTGAATGATAGATCTTCTAGATGGGATATATGGAGCACTGCAACTCCTGACATAGTTTTGTTGGGATCATTGCAACATCATCTGTGATTTGCTTACAAAGAAAATACTGTGAAGTGTGATCAAACCAATCAGATGATTCGCACCATCCAATCATTAACATTGCAAGATGGTTCCTCCATTCCTCTGGATACACTTCAAGTCCTAATATGTGCTTATAACTGAATATCTCTAATCCTACGGTCCTAGGAACATGAATTGTTCTGATACGAGAAATAGAAATGTGGTATCTAACATGCTCAGTACGATACCGGTTGACTTGTTTTGATCACACTATTAGTATTAAAGGTACTCAAAATGCTATATTACAAGAACTCAGGTACAGTTGTTGGCTTTTGAGCATGTGCTTAAGCTTCAAATTTGTCTAATTCCCATGTCCAAGGACATGAGAACATGGCAAAGTATGGCTAATTTTTAATATCCTCCTTTTATTTTCAGGGTAAAATAGTACTTACAATGTGACACATAGAATTTCATACATAATATAAGAGTTTTATGCATAATTATATGTAAACTCAAATTCCTAAACATACTTTTGAATTCTGCATTCAGTTTTTTAATTTTACAATTGGCTGCATGTAGATCCTCCACTTGTTCCATGAGAAAGTCTATCCTGAAAACTCAACTTCTGCATGGAAATCAGATAAGCCCCATAAGAATGAACCGAAGAACATCACCTATGAGGAGGGGTACTATAACGGAGATTATACGCACCCAGGGGAAGATATCATAATATTTCCCCATACAGCCCTTTCAAAAGAGAGCATACGATGCTTCAGGAGACACTCAAACCCATCACAACTCACAATCAGTGGAAGCAATTCAAATGGGAACAGCGAAAACTGGATCAATACAGATGCAGACTGTAAGTACACATATATCTACCTTTCCCAAAATCTATTTTATGCTCCAGACTTCATGGTGATTATAATTTGGTTATAGAGACTAAATTCTGAGCCCACAGAAGTTGGCATTTACACTATCACTTTTGGACTGATGAAGTTGTACATCCTTCAACTTCTATTCTTGATAAGGACAAAGGAAAGACCTAGTTTATGGGTTTTGTCAGATATAATGATCTCCTTCTAACTGGCCTCATGTATTATGGATTTAATTATTCGAGTTGTGCAACTATTTTGGTTATTAATCTGATTCAATTCTATTATTTGCACTGCAGACTTCGTGCTGGAGCTATAGAAGGAAGAAGCACTCTTAAAGTGCGGTTATGATATATTGGCATTAAACAGTAAGTAGTGTATTAAGGTTCTCATCGTGGGCAATTGTTGCCAGTAATATCCGGGTGGTTATTTTCTATTAAGATTGAGAAGGACAAAAGAATAAAAGAGGGCCCCCTCTTAATTCCAGTGAATAATCAATATTGATTGAGGTCTAGCTATGTTAGTGGACATGATTCAGTTATTCTTAATGTAATGTTTGATAATGTTGGTGTCATCCTTGATTTCCAAATGAATTCATAGTTATTTCATTTCTAAGAAGATGAAACATTCTATAACAACAATTGGAAAGATACAACAGAATCTTCCATGATATAGTTACTGATATGTTTGATAATGTTGGCGTCATCCTTGATTTCCAAATGAATTCTTAGTTATTTCATTTCTAAGAAGATGAAACGTTATAGAAAAACAATTGGAAAGATACAACGGAATCTTCCAGTGAGTAAGCAATATTGACTGAAGTCTATTGCTATGTTAGTGGACATGATTCAGGTATTCTTAGTGTAATGTTTGATAATGTTGGTGTCATCCTTGATTTCCAAAAGAATTAGTAGTTATTTCATTTCTAGGAAGATGAACATTATAGAAAGACAATTGGAAAGATACAACGGAATCTTCCATAATATAGCAACTGATCTGTAAAATTGGATTCTTCTTTGACAAGACAAATTACCTTATGGAAACAGTGCTGAAGTTTTGGATTGCTTCTAGCTAAGCAATCTTCCTTTCTCCTTCCTTTTTTCCCCCCACAATTAGCACAAATTAAACCAAGAAGGCAAATTGATATGACAAGGTAACAAATGCTTTAGCTGTTGACCTGAATATTTACATATGCGCGAAGCTTTCCTGGTGAATATTTTTTGCAAACGAGGCTAATGATTGAAATTGAGCTATCAAAAACAGAAACAAAAGCAAGCACGAGATTCAAAAACAAATTTCCTTTGGCTTCCTCAGTTTCTAGGCTACCATACTGCTATAAAACAATACTAAGGCAGACAAGAAATTTCGTTAATACAAACGAACTCACACACCACATTTTCCTATGCATCAAGCTTGCCTAGTGAATAGTAGTGCAAATCTCAAAAACAGACGCAAAAGCAACCATGAGATTCAAAAGCAATTTTCCTTTGATTTCCTCAGGCTTCTAGGCTACCAAACGGAAGGTATAAAGCAATACTAATGCAGTGGAGAACACATTTTCTTAATCATGATGCTTGCCTGATGAATATTTTTGCAAACGAGGCTAGTGATCGAAATTGAGCTATCAAAAACAGAAACAAAAGCAAGCATGAGGTTCGAAAATAATTTTCCTTCGATTTCTTCAGTTTTCTAGGCTACTAAACGGAAGGTACAAAGCAATACTAAGGCAGTGAAGAGATTTCATTGACGCAAACAATCGAACACACAACAACACAACACATTTTCTTAACCATTGAAGCTTGCCTGGTGAATATATTTTTTGCAAACGAGACTTGTGATCGAAGGCTTGAGAGAACTCTCCACCACAGCGATCGCATTTACCAAACTGTGATTTGGTTCTTCATTTCTCATTCTTTTGGTTCAAATTTTAGAACCCGCCTTCATAAAAGTGCTTTGCAAATTGTGCTTTACAAGTTTTCGAAAAGTGAAAAGTCATGCGGGCCATGCCTGCGGATGCAAAAAAAAAAAAATAAAAATAAAAATTTATGCTAGAGGTACCAAATTTTTTACTAAATAAATGACCAAATGTCACATGGGTGTGGGCCCATAAAATTGCGAACCTCACACCCATGTGAAACATCATTTGTTTGTTTAGTAGAAAATTTAGTATCCTAACATTACTCAAAAAAAAAATAAATAAATAAATAAACGATCTGACAGGTCTTCCACAATCCCAATTCTAATAAAACGGGTTTGGTGGGATCGGGATTGGAAAAACTTATCATAGAATAGAAGTTCGCCTTAATGAGCTTATAATTTTATTAGTTACATATATATTATTTCTAATTTTTTCTCATATGTATTATATAAAATAATTAGGGTAAATTACACTAACCTCTCTTAAGATTTATCTTAATTACAGGTGCCTCCTCTATAATTTCAAAAATAACACAATACTCTCTTACTTTTGAAACTAATGTATAAAGAGCTCATTTGGAGAGTTAAGATTTGACTTTTTTGGCTAAAATAACCAAACACAAAAAAAATAAAAAAATAATTTAGCCCAATAAGATAAAAATTACATTCAACCCATAATTATTACATTCTTTTTCTCACAAAAAATAAAAAAAAAATCAAAAAATCCTTCCGAAATAAGACTTTTTAATCCCGGACTAAAATAGCAAAAAATTCAAAAAATCAAAAAGCTTGTTTTACACACAAAAAATAAACACTAAACTATACCAAATTCTTTTAGAATAATAGCAAGTCCAAGTATCGATTCATAGGGACAAATGAGAAATTAAACTAATTTAATTGCTAGATTCCTAAATTAATTTTGATTAAAACAATTGATGGATATTATGACTAAACAAGAATTAAATCAAATTGAATAATTAAATTGACAATTAAAATTAGGGTTTGAGATATTAATTTTTGAAAAAAATCCTAGGGCAAAGAATTCACCACTAACTACATAAATGAGATTTAACATCGATCATTAATTGCAATCCAGTTTAAAATACCCAATATTTCACAATTAAAAGTTTGAAATATTGATTAAGATGGTTGTTGCATTCAACGTACATGCACGAATCATCCCGAGTAGCACAAGGCGTTTGCTTTAAACTATGGTAGCAACACGACCTATCTCTCGTAACATGACTCATCTTGTACTTTGAACACAAACACAAAGAAAACTAATGTATGGAAAACATTAAACAATCACAGAGAGTAAAATATTTGAAGAGATGAAAAGAACAATTATTATAAACTTCTAAAACGTCCATACATTTGTTCAAACCGTTTTACAATCAAAGCTTAAGAAAAAATCTTTTTACATGGGTAGGGTTTCATCAAAACCCTAAAATTGGAAGACTAGCCACTTATGGAGGAGTGGAAAGAGGAAGAAAATGAGGAGGAAGTCCCCGTGGAAGTTATCCTTAAAGCTTGAGGAAAATCACTCTCTTGAAATCCTAACCTCCCATTTTCTTCAAAAAAAATTTGAACCCTTTTACAGCCCCTTTTTCTTCCTTTTATTCCCAACAAAATAGACTGAAAATTTCATGCACGCAACCCTCGGTAGGCCGCTCAAGCAGTGGTAGGCCGCACGTGCGGTGAAGCTTGGCGGCATGTACGGTGATGTAACACCCCGAAATAATCCAACATAGAAAATACATCAACGCACTTCCAAATAAGATAACAACCATGGCTCAAGGGATGCCGAATAGATATATTCACCATGTTCCTTTACATAGTTCCAAAAGTTATACAAAAGTAATCTCACATGCGACTATGCATTCATTGACAAACTAATACATGAATCTATAGCATGTAAAATCATTTAATCAAAACGAATAAGGCCCTCAAGGGGCTTACAAGTTCCAAGGCAATAGCTTGGTTACACAAAATGGTCTCTCGGACCCATACAAATTAGCCCTTGGCTTTACAAAAAAATTAACACAAATAAAAGAGCAATCTACTATTCACCAAAAACATATCCACGTCCTCAGTTTGGCGGGATCACCACTTCTTTACCTGCACCAAATCCCATAGGGTTAAGCATAAAGCCCAGAAGAGAATTCTTACAAAGTATATACTGTTATGCAAAATCTCAATAAAAATACTAATGTCAATGTCATGCCATACTCTTTTAAAGAATTTTCATGTCATGCTCTTCTTAAGGATTACCATTTTTCAATAAAGCTTGCAATCTCAACACATTTCAAAATCTACAATTCTTTTAAATTAATAGGAGCGGTAAATATGACTCAGGTAATCCCTAGGTTGGTGTCTGCAAGTAGGCTCAACAAATACTATCAAATTGTCATTTTTACCGGTATTAACCGGAAGGCTCGACACCTATCCGCGCGGTTTTCTGGTCTTTCACCATGGACAATGAGGCCAACTTATCAAGTTCAACTACACCCCCTATCCAGACTTACCACGTATTTACCCCATACCACGTTTCCATAGTTCTTATTACAACACCTCTTTCTTTCATGAAGTAAATATTTTTCAATCTAAACTCACAATGTATGATAATAATAATAATTTGAAATGTGTATGCAATGCAATGATCTTCCCCATACTTCATAGTATTACTCCATTTCCGACTATCCCTACAACAATACCAATTTACCACGTTTTTCATTTCTTCTCCTCAATATTATTTCACAAAATAACCATGCCATCAATTTATAGCAATAACAATCTCTCATCATGCCAAATTCATAACAAGTTAGCCTCTTCCAGACTACATGTGATGTTTTTCAAACATTAACTCCAATGTTTATAATTTTCACTATCCAAAATGCACAACCATTTGCCATTTCACAACAATACACTTTCATATGTTTAACAATAATGTTAAAACAACATCTCATTTCTCATATATCAAGTAAATTGCCATTTTGCTAAACATATGATGAAAGTTCACTCTCTTAATACAAAACAACAAGAAACCCTTAAACATGTTCACATTTTTCAAAAATCACCAAAATTTCTAGGGTTTTATATCAAAACCAAAACATCTCCCCAATTTCTTGGTGAACTCCCAACAAAACATCTTTCTCAAATTAATAGATGCAAACCTTTCAAAATCAACAAAAAGAAAGATAGACATTTGAGGTTTTAAACTTTTCATTTGGAAAATTTCTACTCTCTTGAGTCACAAACAAACTCTCAAAAATAAACTCAAGAGGAACATAAAAACCAACATTTAATCTTGCAAAACATATATATATAACTCAAGAATATCCCTACCTCAATGTTTGATGAAGAGGAGAAGATGAAACCCTAACTTCAAGGATGAGAAAGAGCTTTGATTTCCATCACACCAAGTGAAACTCTAGCCCTAGATCTTCAAAATAGTGAGAGATGATGATGATGATCTAAACCCAAGGATAGCAAGAATCAAAGTGTTTTAGTGTTTTGTGAGGGTTTTCTAGAAAAAATGAGGAGAATATAGGTTTAGAGTGAAAGGGAGAAGCCCCAAAATGAAATACAATTCGGCCAAAAAGAGGAATAAAAACAAAGGTTCGGGCTGCCCAAACGTCCCGCACGTGCGAAGCCTCACTCCCGCACGTACGGCTCCCAACCCCGCACGTGCGGCCCTCCCCGCACGCACCTTGCTCTGCACCTGCTTATATTGCAATGTGCTACCCTAGCTCTTCCCTGAAATCCGCAGGTGCGACCCTCTCCCATACGTGCGGCTAGCAAAACAGTCCAGAAAAAATGTTGGCTTGACCCCCGGCACTCCGGACCTGACCTCACGTTCTCCGGAACAAGTGATATTCAACACCGAACAAAAACAAGAACAAGAACGTTAAAATTTTTTTTGAGGACTATTCCCGGATGTTTCAAGCCCAATCGAAAATGAAAGAAGGACGGAGAGAAGAAAGAAAGAAAAGAGAAGAAAAGAAAGACCCGATCGTCACAGGTGAGGTGGCTAGCTCAGATTTTTCACTTTCTGCATGGATAATCTGCTTTTGCGCTCTTTTTGATTGAATTTGAGTATTTCCTGCCATATTTGTACAAGTGTACTAAACACATCATCTCCACCAAATAAACAAAATTGAAAGACTATAAATGTAACTTAAGCGACCTCAATGTGGTACCTTTCGGCCCACATCACATCCCCCAACTTACATTTTGTTAGTCCCCGAGCAAAACAATAGAAAAAAGAAAATTAAAATAACTCTAAGCCACTTTCGTAGGGATCACGATTACATTTAGCATATGCAACAGGCTTGTATACCACAAGGTTACCCCAAGTGGACAAGTATAGTCTCGCGAGGGTTTCCAGAAATGATACCAACAAACATCAACATATTCATATCTGCTCAACAATAATTAACCACATTACTCCACCTAACAATCAACTTATGTGCCACTACAATGTGATATTAAGACATGATGAGTCATTAAAGACATAGTGAACAAGCATGAAGGAATATATTGAGCCAAAATCACAATTCAGTTAATATAAAAGTAAAGTCCCATGTACTTGTGAATGCTAGTAGACACATCATCAGTACCCTCGGTGTAAAGTGCAATCTCCATATCAGTTAGTTATCCACTATAATAACCCAGTGTAACTCATAATAACACCCAACATATACAGAAAAACTAAACTATTGCAACCAAGATTCTCAAATATTTTTTTTTGAAAGACTGTGCAATACCCTGATCCATTAAGCTTTCTAATCAACCATGTAACAAACATTGGGCCAATGACTCCCAAACTAGATGGTTTTAGGGCACTAGGTGTGAAGACACCCCTATGGGCTTAATAATTCGAGTTGAAAAGGCTATGAATCCAAAAAGTCATTCTCCTTATTTTTCCTTAACTGTGCAATGTCTAGGTCCCTTAAGCTCTCTAATTAACTCATGTAGTAAGTATTGGGCCAATGACTTCTAAACCAAACGGTTTTAGGGCACTAGGTGTAGAAACACCCCTACGGGCTTAAGAATCTTGGCTACTTATTTATTCTTTTCTACAACCC